CACAAGGCAGTTTTGCCTTGAAATCTTGGGAAATTGAGTGATTTAGTTAAGTGACTTCCTGTACTTATTTCTCCATGAAATTTGGTAGATGAATAGCCTTATATGGTACTATAATCATACCAAATTTGGTGCTATTCCGAAGCCGTTTCAATGTTCAACTGAACTTCCAAATTTCATGATTTAAGTTTTGAAAACCCTTGTTTAACAAGAAAATTTTGGCAACTTTGAGCTATCATATCTTGGTGCTCAAAACTCCGATTCTTGTTCCGTTTATTTTGTGTTAAACCTGGATTGCAACTCTGATAGAGTTTCAAATTTCAGAGGTTAGTTGAATTTTACCGAATTTTACCGAATTTTCAAAGTTGGCCAAAAACCAACTTAAACCTGTCTTGAGTACCCAAAACAGTAAATTTGAGCCAATTTTTGAATACCTTCGGTTTGAAATCATGGAAAAGTGTCTTCTAAGAACTTTTAGTAATTTCAAAGAGGTTTCCAACGGTATCAAGTTTTCCATTTTTGGACTTTCTGGACTTCCGAACCGATTTTTCAAATTTCCACGCGTAAAATTGAAATTTTTCCGATTTGAACCTACTTGCTCTTTTAAGAGCTTAGGTCACGCTTTTGAGACTCTTGAGATATTCCAAACTTATTTTTATGGTGAAAAGGTTCTCACTTATAATTTGAAACTTTATTTTGAGTGTTGGTTTTGATAAACCGAAACACTTGAAAATTTGGCCTTGAGCATTTTAACTAGAGAAATTTTTGAGAAATTTCACTAAATTTTCTATTTGAAAGTTAGAACTTTAACTTCCATATTTATTATAAAAAAAAGGGTGATTGTAAGGAGACTTTGGCTTCGTAAGTTTAGAGAACATGAATTTTCACTTATATTCTTGCACTTGGGCTTTTATTGAAGATTTTCTAGTACGAACACATTTTTCTCCTTTCTCGATTTTCGTGCCAAATTTAAGCATTTTACTCTTCTTTTGGAATTGATAGTCCTTTCCATGATTTAACTCGGAAATGGGACTTTAAATTCCTTTTAGTTATTATTCCAATGATTAAGTGAAAACTTCCTATTTCGATTTGTTTGAGCTTGAGGCTCTTGAGTGTGTGTATCTAAGAGGTTTTCTTTTATTCGCCTTGATCGAGCATCTAGGTAATTCGTGATTGTGATTAATCTCAGGTGATCTAGAGGACACCGAGAAGCTCTTTTAATTTCCTGCTGTTGCTCCGGATTACGGTGAGAGATTCCAAACTGTTTTGCATAAAAAAAAAATTGTTTCTCGAACTTTTATAACCACTGTTTGTATAATTGCATATATATATATATATATATACGTGATATGACTTGATAAGTTCTTCTTACATGCCTAAGTGGTCAAATATTTGATGAATTTTGTTCACTTGAATGATAAATAATTATTCCTAGGCGAGTGTGTACTTTATCGCACTCGACATAATTGTTGCTGTATCACTTAATTGTTCAATATTTCATTGTTTATGGGTTACTTGTGTATGCTGTAGGCCATGTGTACTTTATCACGTCGGCTGAACAAGGCCTTCCCCCTCTTCGTTATCACCTATTCGAGTCAGAAGCGGACTCGGTCGGATAGATTGATAACCCTGGGCACTGTATTTTGGTATATTCGAGTATTACCGCTGGAGGGATAAGGTGATGGCCAGTCAACCAAATGAGCTACTGATGGGAGTTATAAGGACGGGAAGTGGATCGAGTACTGTATCCTTTTGTGTTTGCTTTACTATTGCTACTGTTATTGCTCTCCTAGTTGACATTTCTCGGGTAAGACTCCTCATGAGCATTAAGCTCTAAGACGAAGCAATCCTTGTAATGTTCTTCTAGTCGGACGAGCCGCTATTTGTTTGACTATAAAAATTCACGAAAATACATTTACATGGTCATTCATTCCAAATATACATTAGTGATTTTAAATGATTTATAAGCTGTACTCATAGTAAAGTTACTAGCAAAAGTCCTATTTGTCCACGTGATTTTAAAATAGCAATTACGCACCGATTTATAAATACTTGATTTTCCCTTTTGAAACCTCATTGAGATTTAGCTCACCCCAAAAACATTTTAGTTCTATGCAGGGCTCGAGAAGGATAGTTACTCAAGCACAAGGCTTTCGAGTACCGTGGATTATCCTTTATCTGGGTTGTGATTGATTTTCTCTGTGGAATGTAATGGTTATTTTGAAAGATTTGTGAACTTTATGGTATGATGTACTTGTGGTTGAAGTAAATGTAAACCTCATGATATTTCGGGGATTATACTTTTGTAAGAACTATTTGAATTGCAAACATAAGGATTGTACTTAAGTTATTATTATTATGAAAATTTAGATGAAGTATTGGACTTGTACTTTGGTATGTTGGATTGGTGGATATAATATACTCCGTTTGAGCTTTTAAGAACGATCGATTATATTTATGCTTGAGTTTTGTAGTGAATCCTGGCGAGAGTTAGGCAGGCGTTCCGTTGATACCCTTGGATTCGCCCTTGGGAGAAGTGGGGGCGTCACAAGCTCATATGAGCTTTGTATTCGAACAAATCAATGCTATTGAGAAGGAACGCTCCCAGAAAGACCAAACCCTGCAGTGAATTCGTGCCTAGCGCGAATTCGAGAATAAACAGCAACAACAATAACAACCTTCCACAGACTTAAATTCGGTCGAGGCCAAGTTGTCAGAAAAGAAATTGGAATCGAAGAAGGATGAAAATGAGGTTAGTCATAAGAATGCTAAGGAATTGTTGGATGGTAAAATAAAGGAAGTGGAGCTGGTCTATCCGTGGCTTGAGTGGATTGAGTTGATGGAGAGAATAGTACAACATAATTATTTTGATCATGAGAAGAGAGATGGAGACGGTATGATGGAAACTGTGGGCTTTAATTGATTTGAAACGGTTGAAGAGAAAGGATTTGATTTTACTAGGGATTTCAAGACTGTTCAGATTGCTGTTTTGAATTCTGGATGCGATCGGTTTGATATATTGATGTCTGTTCTTGTTAATTTTCGTTGGATTTTCTTTGATATTGTGAGTGATTTGTGTTTTATCTTTGTAATTTGTTATTTAGGTTTGTGATTGGCTTTGAATGACTTTGTAATTTGGTGCAAAACATGTTTTGTTTTAATTCTTGGCAAACTAGGGACTCTTTTTTTTTTGGATAGACTTGACCTAGATCCAAGCCCTATTGAACCCCGTTCCAGGAGATAGAGTAGAAGATTCGTCGGGTAGACATGTTGAATCCAGAACGGGTATACTATGACGGGTCCGGGTTTGGAATGATAAATTCTAGCCCGAACCCAACCCATTGACAGACCTAATAGGTGGTGTTCGTCCAAATTATGCATCCGATTAGTGGTGTGCATCGAATTCAAAATCGATAATTTGGAATTTTGAATTCAAAAAATTTGGTAAATTGAACCTTGTAAATTTTGACCTATTTTGTTTTTGAATTCAAAACTCCAAATTCAATTTTGCTTTGAATTCAATTTGGAATTCAGTATCCTATCGAATTCACCGAATTCATGTTAAAAAAAAAACTAACCTAAATTAGTGAGTTAGAGGTATTATATTATTATTATTATATAATAAAATGATTTATATATATTATATATTATTATATATACAAATTTGAAATCGAATTAGGTAGTTTTGATTACGATTTGTGAATTTGAAATCGGAATTTCCGCTTTTAAGAAGCATAGCCTCGAATTTGAACCAACTTTGCCACTTTCAAATACAAAACTCATAATTTCTTTTCGATTTTCGAATTCTCAATTTCAAATTTTTGAATTCAAATCAAATTTAGTTGAAAATTTGAAAATTTTCGGATTTGCATACCCCTACATCTAATGGGTGATCGGTGGACGTTTGAGGACTACGGCCCAATTCGACTAGATACTACTCTTGTACCTACCTAAATCCAACATTCACAATGTTATTTTTTCTACAACGATAACATTTATATAATCTAAACTACTCTATCCTATAGGAAGGAAGAGTCTAAAGAGGTTATATAATGGGATAACAGGTTTACGGATCCTACTATAGTCCAAATGAGTGTTTTGACACCTCCTTTGAGAATCTCCTTCTAGGATGATGACACCAGCAAAAATTTTCAATCGGCATCAGCATAACATCCATATTGAAGCTTTCAAAATTTCTGTTTGGATTGTAAATTATTTGAGATATTTTTACTGTAGCATTTTTTGTGATGTGATGTATGTGAGATAAAAAGGTAATTGAGAAGGTAAAAAGGTGTATTAGAAATTGTAATGATGATGTAAGCAAATATATTTGGCCAAATAAATTGCTGTCCAAACAAACCCTTTGTTGAGGCTGATTTGTTGGGATTTCAAGAATATTGCTAGAACTTGGAAGTTTTCCTATGAAAGGGGGAAAGAAATTTGTACTACTATGACTGGTATATATTGCAAAAAACAAGGCACGTAGCCACTGCAAAATAGCTTATAAGTCTTCCTAGCTTCATAATGCTAATAAGAATCAATAATTAGTTCAATCCATTGAATTATATTCTCAAAGTGATTACATGTATACCACAACATACATTACACGTATAGTACAACAAACATTTCAGATCATGCCAGACTCAATCAAAAGTACTAATCAGACAAAAAGCTACTCATTGTTTAATCACATTATCTATTTTATTTGTTTAAATATAAGATGAAACTCGATATCTTCTAAGTTACAATAATAGTTAATTTGATCCCACATCTTGAGATTTCACTTCTTCTAGTTAATGCTCCTACCGGTTAAGTTGGATTTCGAGAACTCATCGTATTATCATTTATACCAGTCAAAATTTTCTTTACAGAAGGAAAAAAAGAAAAAAAAAAAAGCGAACCTTTTTTTAGAACCCCCCCCAAAAAAAAAAAAACTTCAACTTGGGCTTACTAGGGAACTTGTCCAAAAGGAGCAATACTCTGATTAACATCAGAATCAAGTTACCCACCCGCCGCATCGTTGACCCGACCGCAAAATTCACCCGTCATTGCTCTTCCGAGTCATCACTCTCCATCTTCCTCACACACAGACAGACACGCACACATGGCTTTGCTGGGAGACGACGGCAGAGGCTACGAGCTAGCTCGGAAGCTGGAGAGCCACGGCGTATGGCGCACGTGGCTCGGCGACTCCCTCCACTCCAGCTTCGTTCACTTCCTCGCTTCTCCTTCGGCTTGGGAAGCCTTCATGCGAGCTGACTATGCCGCCGACTCCTCAACCTCCTCCTCGTCCTCCGCCACCACCGCCGTCGATTCGCTTAAAACTAGGGCGCTGCTACACCTCCAGCTCCGAGCACGAGCTCTCCTTTTCGATAAAGCCTCAATTTCTCTCTTCCTCCGATCTCCTAATAATAATCCTCAGTTATTATCACCTTCATCGTCCTCGAATGCAATCTCGAAACTGAATCCAAATTGTACGGGACAATTACTGAGTTTAGAATTATTTTAAGGAATTGAGTATTCTAGTTATGTTTTGACTAATTTTATTTTCTGTTCTCAGATTTGCAGTTGCACGGTGATGATGTGTATTTCACTTTGGAGGAAGCTGCTCAACGGTCGGATAGTGTTCTTGCTTCTTCTGCAAATGCGACGGCATCAAAGGTTTCATTTTGCTAAATAAACTCTCTTCCTTTTCAGAATTTCGGTTTTGTTTTCTTTCTTTTCTTTTTCTCAATTGTTGGTTGATTTTTGAAGTCAAAGTGATGAAATTAGGAATATGATTGAGCGTTTTTCCAGTCAATAGATTTCCATATGTAAGATTATGGGATGATATTGCTAGTTAAGTTGAATTTCTCATGAATTCTTGGATAATAGGTGTCAAATGATGAGGATGTATGATCACATTTGCCAGAGGTGTTTGAGTTTTAAATTTTGTTAAGTAAAATGAAAATGGTTGAGTTGTTTTTGTTATTTTTTGTTGAGAAGAGAATAAAATTGCTTCTAAAATCTGAAGCATCTAATTTTTTTTCGGAGATGTCATTGCCTAACTGAATGGAAGCTGAATGCAAAGCTTGAATTAGCTTTTTAGCCACTGTTTGTTCAGAATGGCTCGTCAGGAAAAAAGAGCTTTTATCATGTCTCTTGAAGACTCATGTCTGAGTATCAATTTATAAATGCCAACCTTAGAGCTTTAGCATTATCAAAAGTGCTTTTTAGTTGGAAGGGTTAGATGATATTCTAATTTTAAACTTAATTGGGTGATTATAGTTGTAATTTCTTGGGAATAGAATGGTCGGAATTTAGTCAAAACTCTCTCTCTCACAAACAAGAAGGTTATGCACTGACATCTGCGATAAACATTAGAAGTTTTTTCGCTTTTTTTGTTCTTTCTTTCTTTTCCTCTTTATGTTCTCATTAATTTGTTGGTTATTTCCTGATGTGAAAAATTTGTTCTGGTTAGAGCATCTTTTTTTTCTTGGTCAAATCATCAATGATGAAGTACCAAGAGGCCTTCCCCGCCCCCGCCACGCCCCGGGGATATTTGTTCATTTTGTATGCACTCCTTTCTACCAAGTTTGGCTGACAATTCGTTCATATTTTGTTGCACCACTACTTTAACTCAGCTGAAATTTATTTCCAGAGCTTATGAAGTTTAGTAATTAGGTCTGCTTTCTAAACTTCTCATCACATTCTATCTGGTAGTAGGAGATTCTATCATTCCTGTACTATGTGTATTAGAGTTGTGCTTTCCTTCGTAGGTTATATTCTTTTCTTTTCGTGCACTACCACAAAAAGAAGTTTTTCTCGTTCATGCTTGACTTGACATCATGCATTGGTCTTTTTAATTTAATTTTCTTCTCCATTTCTACTACTTCACCAACTTATTTACTCTTTCTCTTTTCAGAGCAAATCATCTTTTGGTGTTGGATCGAGGCACACTGAATCAGAAATTGGTTCTTTGCCACAAAGGTTCAAGTTCGATGAATTACCTGAAACATGGTATGCTCAGTTTTTTGAGAAGTATAGAGCAAGTAAATCATACAGACTATCCTTCGGAGATCAGGAAACAGAAAAAAGGACTCCTGAACATATGTATAATTATCTTAGGGTTGCGGAAAATCACAAGAGAAAGAGAGTTGCTTTCAAGGTAGATCAGAACATTGGTGTTGGCAATTCCATGTTAGACAGCGGGTCAAACATGCTGTTAACCTCAATAGTGGAGGACAACAATGCACTTGATGATGAAGCACCGTTTTTCCCTGAAACTATGTTTAGTATGAATTGTGTTCCAGATAGTGCTGTCTTGCAGAAACATAGAGTTTCACTGAACGTAAAAGTGGAGTTCAATGGGATTCTAGACACCTTACCTCAGATCGTTACCAAGAGTCCTATCATGATTGAAAGGCTAGGTATCAGACCAGAATACCTAAGTATGGATCCAAAAGGAAATCAAAATCGTGGAAAGATTGGTTATGATGGGCGTGGGAAACTTCTGGGTCAGGAGCAAGCATCACAGCTATCACAGAAAGTGATAGCTCGTTTCCTATCTAAAGTTGGTTTTGAAGGTTCCTCAGAAGTGCCACTGGAAGTTTTGTCTCAGTTATTAAGTAGTCATGTATGCAAATTAGGTCGTACATTAAAGCTACTTGCTGATAGCTACAGAAAGCAATGCTCAGTCATGGAGTTGTTAAAGATGTTCCTTCACACAACTGGATATAGGTGAACATCAATCCTTGTCACATCAGATTGTACAAAGTGTTATATTGTCAATTTCATAGTTGTTAGTGTAAATGGTTTCTTGATTATACCTGAATGCTGATGATGCTCAATTATGCGTACTGAATTATGCATCACATTCTAATTTTTGCAAGAAATATAAGATCTCCCTGAAGCATGGTAATCCAGAATCTGATAGTGTAAACTTTCAGGGGAACAAACTTTTGGTAGCCAATTTGCACATAGATTTCTATCCATTATTAGGGTAAAGAGCTTGCAAATATTGATGCCATGCCAGCAACCATATAAAGATTGAGCGGTGAACTTAATGAGTAATCTGCTTGATATGGTAATTATTTTTGTCGACAACATTTTTTCTTTTCAAGTTTATTTCTAATGCATTCCCCCATGTTGCCTCAACAGTAATCTTGTGGTACTGTCTGAGCTTGTGAAGGATGCTACCAGGAATCCTGTACCGCAGACTCAGCAACAAGTACAGGGATATCAGTTGCAATTGCAATCACAGAACCAAGGACCCATCCGGCCATCGCAGCAGGTGTATAGAATATGACACCATGTTTTAGTGTTACAATTAACTTTCTGGGAGATCAGAGGACTGTCCATGGTGAAATTTTCATGCAAGTTGTCTTGCTACAGTTTTCAAACTATCTTTAAACTCTAAAAGGCAGTAGTAATAAGAAATTGGCCAGTAAGTTGTAGTTGGCTTAGGTGTATTTGTCGTCCCTGACATTTATTCCAAGGCAATTTATGACTATGCACATGTAGGAGAACTGCCATTTGTGGAAAAAAGGCGTACGTCTGCCCTTTTTTTGCTCATCTTTTACATTTTTTTTTATTTTGTGCTCCTTATTTTGTCTAATAGTAAAGGAATTTGGCTGAATAAATTAGTCTGCCAAGTTTTACTGTTAGCCTCCTTGTAAACGTAGTAACATATTCTTCCCACTAACAGATTCCAAGGCAAATGCTTCCTCAGCTTCAACAGATGATTAATTCCCAGAATCTGGCTTTTCAGCAGCATCAACAATGGGAGAGAATGAGAAGACGACAGCAGTCAACACCTCGTCCTGGTATGAACATGAATATAAATATGGACAAGGATAGGCCTATGGTGGAAGTCAAGGTTGAAAATCCATCTGATTTCCCAATGGACAATAATACCTTTGCCACAATCGATTCCCGGCATTCCCAGCTGCAGCCATTTCGTCAGCAACAAATCGCTGCTATGACATCTTTCCAAACTAGCAATCAGTTCAGGCCCATGTCTTCGCCTCAAATTCCTCAAATGCAGTCCCCGTAAGGAACTTTGATTGTTGAATATTAGCTAGGATGTGACAATATCTCTACTAACATGTGCTTCCTTTTTAGGAACATGGGGATGGCTAGGGCTCCTCCTGTAAAGGTTGAAGGCTTTCAAGAATTGATGGGTGGGGATGCTACACTTAAACATGATTCGGAAGAAAACAAACTAACATCACCGGCCAAATAGTATAGCTTTGAGTTTAATACCTTCCGGCATAGAAGGTACTATTTTAGAAGTGTTCTTGCTCTCCAAGTTCCAATGTGCAAATTCTACTTAAATCTCATGTGTTACACAATGACAATTTCTGAAAAAGTTTTGAAAATGAAATTGTTATGCTAACTTTATTGATTCTGTCATGTTGGTAATAGATGCCTATGCCCATTAAATACTGCAAAAAATTTACTAGCGTTATTTATTATTTTCTTTCTTTTTGTTTGTGTAATTAATCTCAGCTTTCCTCCATTAGTGGTAGGATACATATGAAGCATATTGAAAACAAATAAGTGTTCTAGAGGAATGTCCTTTCAATACGTGGCCCACTTGACTTTTGATTCATGGCAGAGAATGTATCACCCGGAAAGAATCTATTATTTGTTTTTCTTGTTTTCACTTTTGAAAAAGTATATGTAGTGTTGTGTGGAGTCTGCTGCTATTCGTCGTTTGTGTACTCGTGTGCTTGCTTCATTTGTTTTTGTCTTACTGTACTTGGTTCTCAAAATGCTAATGGGAAGATATTGTGAAAAGATATACCTTGAAGTGACCTCTAAATTAATTCTCAGATTGTTTTCAAATCAACCATTGGGTGATAGCTTCTGCATTTATCAAAAGAGGTGTGTGACAGCTTCTGTTGCCATATAGGCACATTGTATTATATAAGCCAAAGCTTTAAACTCGTATTGAGTTGTGGGTTATACTCTCGGGGTGCAATCAGGCTCCATGAGCAGGCTTTGGCATGCCCAAGCTCAGCTCAAAAAATAAATGGGGCTTTTGGGCTCAGGCCTAGGCTAGAAAGCTCAAGCTCGGGCTCAGATCATCATTTAATATGAGCTTTGGGTTCAAGTTCATAATTAATTACATAATTATATATAATATATTAATGTTTATAAATTATTATAAATTTGTATGTAAATTATTAATATTTTAATGTTATAATATGTATATTTATAAATTGTATATATTATTCAATATGCAATTAATATATATATTTATATATATATAAAATTATAATTATACATATGAATGGGCTGGGCCTCAATCGGGCTTGAGGCTAATGAGGTTCAAGTTTGGCTCACATATAATTTGGGCCTATTATGACCAAGCTCTTCCCAGCCCTATTAAAAACAAGGCTCATTGGGCTTTTGCAGGCTAAATGGGCCGGGCTTGGGCTAACCGGGCCCTGTTGACAGCCCTTTACATGTCAATATGAGAGGCATTGTTTTAACTGAATATGGGTTTCTTAGTGATGTTTACTTGCTTAATACTTGACCCTTCTGTTTTCAATATAATCTCAAATTTATTTTGGAAATTGGCAACCTTTACCCTATGTTAGGGAAAAACAGTATTGGATCAGGAATGCCAGGATAATATATAATATATATAGCAATACATTTACGACCAACCTGAGGTACAATGACAATCTTGAGCTGTACAGTTGCGATGCTGACAATGAACTGTGCACTTGGACTAATGCCTGTTACGTTTGACTTTTGGGATAGCCTGTAACTTTTTGTGATAAGTAGCTTGCAATTACTTATTGATAGTGACATTTTAATGTTTTGCTCTTAGGATAGATGAATTTATAAAGGAAAAATATTTAGAAGATCCAGAACACCTGCAGTGTGGAGTAGAGAATCTGTGACTGTGGTGCATGTCAAGATCAGATCTCGGATTGTGTTGATTATCCTCCATAAACTCAAGAAACTTGTTGACTTAAGTATCATGTGGCTCTTTGTTTCCAACCACACTCATTTCTTTTGCTTTGTTTCTGAATATCTTTCCCTTGTCTTCAACAGTGATCAACCTAACTGTCTGGGCCACCGAGTTTCTTGTGTATGACCCATTTTATACTCACTTCTGCACAATTCTATTCCCAGCTGCTTGGTCAGGCCTCCTCCTGTAAAGATTAAAGGATTCCAAGAATTGATGGGTAGGGATACCGCACTGAAGCCTGATTTCAAGGAAAATGAGTTAACTTTGCATGCCTCATAGGATAATTCAGTTAAATACCTTCTTGTACAGATGTAAAGGTACCATTCTTTGATAAGTTTTCCTACTCTTTTAGTTCTATAGCATAATCCTACATAAATATTAGTGTTTGTTGTAGAATGCCAATTTTGTAAAAAGATTTTACAGATGAAATTATTGTGCTAATACTTATTGATTCTGGGTGTGGGCTGTTGTGCTATGAAGATATTTGTCTTTTGTTTCCTATTGGTGTAGTGTTTTTTTTAGTTGCTACTTCAAAGTTCTAATAATTAATATCTAGAAAAAATTAGTATTTTCTTAGTTGCTATTTAAAAGTTAAAGTAATCATACCATACACTAAATTAAAGTGATATACTTGTGATTGTTAATATTAGGAAAGTAAGAGTTGGATCACCGTAGGACATTTTTACAAAAAGAAATTAAGGGGAATTCGTTATTTGATGTTTAAAAGTTATACCAGACACTAATTTTATATTAATAGGCGGCATGCTAATATAAAGAAACGAAGAGTTGAATTACTACATGGCACTTTCATAAAGAAAAATTAAAAAGAAAAATAATTAACTAATGATAAACATATTGTGGGAGGGGCGCAAGTTGATCAAATTTGTTGTAAAAAACTAACAGTCGGAATTAGTTCTTGGGTTTGTGTTGAGTATCCTCCAAAAGCTCAAGAAATTTGTTTATGTAAGCATCATGTAGTTCTTTGTTTCCTACTACTCCGCTCATTTCTTTTGCCCTGTCTCTGATTATCTTTCCCTCTTCTTCAACCATGATCGATCTAATTGTCTGGGCCACCGAGTTTCTCATGTATGACCCATCCTGTTCATTTCTTGCCACTTCTGTTCCCAACCGCTTGTCCTATAGAACCCTAGCATTTAACCCTTGATCCAGCAGAAAGGGTAACACAATAAGTGGATGACCATATGCGAGTCCCTCTATAGTGGAACCCCAACCGCAGTGAGTCAAGAACCCGCCAATGGATTCATGACTCAGTATCTTCAACTGTGGCACCCAACCTTTCCATACCATTCCCCTTCCCTGTACTCTCTCTTCGAACTTTTCAGGCAACTGAACTGATTCAGATTCACTGAAGCCGGGTGGCTTCCTCAGAACCCAAAAGAAAGGCACCCCTGATAGCTCTAGCCCAAGAGCCAGCTCGCTGATATCTGTTTGACTGGGTGGCACCTCGCTCCCTAATGCTACATAAACTACTGAGGCTCTGTTTTGACCATTGAGCCATTCTTTGATTGGAAACCAAGCTTCATCATTCATCTCATCATCTATTTTGTTGTCAATTTGGAATGGGGTGGCACTAATCCCAGAGGCATCACTGGAGTGGGATGTATCTCATTTAGCAGCTTCAAGCAGTCGCCTTCAAACTCGTAGGAGTGTCTTGCAATAACAACGTCTGAATCCCTGGTCACCATTCCAACTCGGTATGCATCCGAGGCACCTGAAACGTTGGGATTAGCAATTCGCAGAACGGAATCAGTTTCATGGATCTTGTAAACCACTTTTGTCTGAAAAGCTACCCACTTTGGCGGGACCATGAAGTCTTCAGCCTTGCTTCTTGGATCTGTGCCATTAATCAACATGTCTGATGGTCCAAGAAAGCCCAAACACCAGGCGCTGACAATACAAAAGAAGGATTTCAAAATTCCTAGCTTAGCTGAAACTGGTAGTACCCAATGCGAGGCAAAATCATGAACGATCCAGTCAGGAAGTGAATTCTCCAAGAATCGAGTCAGTTCAGGTTCAAGCCCATCATAGGCTTTCTTTAATAGAGACATTTGATCTGTGTGGATGTCCATGGTGGCCTCTGCATTTTTTGGTAGTCCTTCAACTTGGGGCAGTGGTATTTTAACAAAGGTGATGGAAGAAACAAGATGTGGAGGGATTTTTGGGAGGGGTGCGATGTTTCTAGGGGTGGATATGAAGGGGACTCTGTGACCCCTTTGAGCAATGAATTTAGAGAGTTCTAAAAATGGGATGAAATGCCCAAAGGCCAGCCAAGGCAACATCACTAAGTGCAACTTGGACTCGTTGGCCATGGACAAATTCAGGGCTTTAGGAAGACAGAGATTTCAACTTGGGGTATTGTTTAAGTTCCTTTTCCTCAAAGAGTTTTATGGTATTGCATAGTTGTAGACAGCATGAATCACGCCTCACTGTTTGATGACATCTTAGCACAATAATTTGTTGACATTTATTAGATGTTGGTGGTCGATTATTGGGTATGTATTACATTTACTGACACTAGAAAGATCTGAAGTTGGTGGTCGATGTTGACATATATTAACAATTTCTTTTCTTGTTTTCTTCTGCTAGATTGTCAGCAATTGTTTATTGAGAATCTTTTCATGACACTAGAAAGATCTGAAGTTGTCTGATGGAAAAATCAGTGTGTTCCGCGGTAAGTTGTTCTTGTATCTTATTCCCCAGGATTTAATGGGCGTTTGCTTTCGTGATTCATTTAGCCAAAGGAATGATTCAAATGAACAAATTTGAAGGCGACCTGTGTATCTTTTATTTAATTTTTTTTCTTTTAATACTTGCACTGGGACAGCTGCTGCATGGAGCAGCAGATTATCTGGAGTCATTATTGTGTTGTTGAAAGTTGAATATCAAAAGCCCCTTCAGTTTTAAGGCAGCAATACATTATAGTGATTCAGTCAACATAATTAATTAAAGTTATATGCTTGTAGATTAAGAATGCAACCAGAAAAATTAAATTGCACAATGGATACTAGTGCACTGATTATTGTACAATAATACTAGTGCCAAATTTTACAAGATAGTACTAATTCTTCTCATGTGGGTTTGCGTACGTTCTTTTCCAAGTAATCTACGAACCTCTGTACGTAGCCGTCATGCAGCTCTCGATCTCCAAATACTGCGCTAATTTCTTTAGCTTTGTCCCTGTAGAATTTTCCTTCATCTTCTTCCATGATCAACCTCACCGATTTGGCCACTGAGTCTCTCGTGTACGATCCATCTACCGGATTTCTTGGTATTTCTATGCCCACCTGTTTTTCCTCCAGAATCCGAGCAACCAACCCTGTATCGATGACGAACGGCAGCATGATGAGTGGATGACCAAGCATGAGTCCTTCTATACTCGAACTCCACCCGCAGTGAGTCAGGAACCCACCCACTGAGTCATGACTCAGTATGTTAAGCTGAGGTGCCCAATTCTTCCAAACAATACCCCTTCCCTCGACTCTATCCTCGAACCCCTCTGGCAGCCCAGATGGATTCCTTAGAGCCCAGAAAAATGGCACCCCGGATAACTCCAGCCCGAGGGCTAACTCACCGAGTTCCAGTTGACTCATTGACACCTCGCTCCCAAACGCCACATAAACCACCGAGCCTTTACCTTGACCATCCAACCATTTCTTGATTGCAATCCATGACTCGTTGCTTTCAAGGCCGCTTTTTTCCACCTTGGGCGGCATCAATCCCAGCGGCATCACAGGCCGTTGTTGCAAATTTTCAAGCAAATTTAACCACTGGCCTTCAAACTCGCGGCAATGTCTCACTAAAACGACGTCTGCACCCTTTATAACCGATCCAACCCGATACATATCCGATGCACCCGAGCCATCTAGATTACTAGCTCCCACAACCCATTTACTCTCGTACAGCTTATAAGCCACTTTACTCTCAAATGGGATCCACTTCGGCGGAACTATATAATCCTCCACCTTACTTCTGGGATCAGTACCGTTGATCATTGCATCAAAAGAGGGTCCAAAGAATACCACAGTTGAGGCGCTAACAATAGAGAAGAACGATCTCGCTATATTAAGCTTAGCCGCAATGGGAGGTAACCAGTATGGAGCAAAGTCGTAAATAATCCAGTCCGGAGCTGAGTCTTCCAAGAAACGAGTCAAATCGGGCTCGAGGCCATCATAGGCTTTCTTGAGAAAGGCAACATCAAGACCGCCGAGGTCTACCGTGGCCTCCACATTTTCTGGTAGCCCATCAACTGGGGGAAGTGGGATTTTTACGAAAGTAATAGAAGATGCTAAATTCGGTGGGAGTTTAGGGAGGCGATCGATGTTTTTGGGGGTGGAAATGAAGCTAACTTTGTGACCCTTTTGAGCTATGAACTTGGAGAGCTCTAGAAAAGGAATGAAATGGCCGAAGGCTAACCATGGGAACATGACAACATGTAAGCTGCCGGATTTGTTTGCCATGAAATATTGTCGGAACTTTAGAACTCTATTATGGTTTTTTCCTCCTTGCCTGCAGAGTGCACAACTTGCTGATATATAGAAGCTGGGTGGTACGATGTGTGGACCAATTGATTCGATTTACTACCTTTCCAGCATCACATGTTGTTAAGGGAAAATGAGTGATGTACAGGTCACTGTGTTAGTGTAGATGTTAAAGGGAAAAAATTTGTGAAGATGTTAAGAGTAGAGATTCGATGAACCAGCTATTGAGCCGGGCCGGGCCATCAATTGGATTTTGGGAGGAACCGGCTACGGGAAAAAATTTGTGACGATGCTAGAATAGAGATTTGAATTTAGAACCTCATGCAAGAAAGTAGATTACAGTTGCCCCCGGAGTAGCCACCCATTTGTTGATGATTTTATCCTTCTTATATTATATTATATGTTAGACTTTTATTCTTATTTTATTTCTCAAAAACAAATTCTATTTGGAATCTTTTAATAATATTTTATTATTCCTCAAGCTCTATAAGTTATGAAATTGACTTAAAAAATAACATATTACACAATTCATTTTAAAGATAAATATCGTTCTTAATAAACTTTTGCACTTAAAATTCACAAATAAACTAGATAATTACATTTAGATAAAATTTTATACTTGAAATTTTTTAGATTACTAATTAAATTTAGGTTGTTAATTCTTATAAAAATTAATGATTCTATAATAAATTAGACTAATCGAGCATTTATTATGGCATAATTTATAATTTCAACCATATCAAAAATTATGAGACATAATATTTAAATATATTTAGTGACCCACCGGTTGAACCACTCACCCATTGATTGAACCAGTAACCCGTGGACCCAATTTTTTTTTTGAAAGGTTCATCACCGATTAGGTTTAATAACTATGCATTGCTGGTCTTTTTGGGAAGTTGAAAATTTAGCAAAATTGTTCTCTCTAGCTTTTTTTTATGTGTAATAAAAATTCACTTCTTGTAATATACTATAAAATAATTCTTTCTTACTAGGTAGCTA